CCTTCAGGAGTGATTTCAGAAAGGATCCCCTCCAGCTGCTGCCACAGCTGGAAAACAAGCTCCCGGCCTTGACCTTCATCCTCTATCTTCTTTGCCTGATAGGTGAAAATGAATTTGTGCAGAGCTGGGAAATATGTGGGGAAGGGCACAATGGAGCTGAAGGGACTGAGGAGCTGCGTGGGACAGGGTGGGGGGAGGCCCTGGGAGATGGGTTTGTATTCAAACAACTGCACTGTGCCCTTGCCCGGCCTGGTCTTCAAAAGCTTCTCCACCGGCACGTTCAGCTGCAGCAGGACATGCAGCACGTGCTGGAGCGGGGCTGGGATCTCCTTGGGATGGTAACGGCACAGATTCCGCACCATCAGGAACCGCTCCAACAGGGACGCGTCGGGCTTTGACGGACGAATCCTCGGAGCAAATATAATCTCAGCTACCAGAATGCCCAAAGCTTGCATGTCCCTCTGGAAGAGATCCGAGAGACCCAGCGGTGGCTCTTCCCACGGCTGCTCCATTAGCTGCATCTCGCTGCTCAAACCTTTAACCAAGAAATTGTCCAGTTTCTCCAGTTCTTCCAGGGCCTGGAGTGGATTGAAGCCTTCAGGAAGTGTGATTTTCATGTCAGCCTGATCCCCAGCACCTGCCTTGCTCCGACGGAGAGGTCGGACACCTGAGGATTTGCCATCGGTGGCATAAGGAGGGAAGGTGGAGGGTTGTGCTGAAGGCACAGCAACAGAGGGCTGGTCACCAGCTCTACCAGTAGCAGGAATCGAATCCAGGGCTTCCATGCCTTGCTCTAAATCATCCTCACCAGCGATGGACTTCTCCCCAGACCAGGTGGTTTCACTGGGAGTAGCCTCCAGGACGAGCCCATTCACCGCATCTGTCACCTGGCCTTGGATATCCTCCAAAAACACAGTCTCCCGGATGTTCTGGAGAAGAGGTCGGGCAATGGCTGGAGCTTCAGCAGGAGTGTAGGCAGGTCCCACCATGCGCCTGGGATGTGGCTGGTCAAACAGCTGCACCACCCCGTAGGTCGTCAGATGCGTGTGGTTGTCGACCAGATGGAGGCAGACGTTCTTCTCCTTGACCGCATCCTTCCCCAGCAGCTTGTACCCAAACGTGAGGTCGATCCAGTGGTGGAGGTCCTGGGAGACCTCCCTGCTCTCAAGCAGCATCCGGTGAACTTCGATGAACTCCTCGTAGGAGCTACACCACGACGGCACGTCCAGGTCGGGCATGTCCGGGTGGATGGATCGGAAGATGGAAGGGTCCGTGTAAAACTCCGGGATGCACTCATCCGGGGTCCAGTTCTGCATGCGCTCCATGCTGGCTGGATACTCATTGGGCTCCCACTGAGACCTCACATGGCAGCACAGCACTGCCTTGGGTGTCCTCCGAGCCGTGTACACGTAGTAGGTGATATCCGAAAGGACATCGGAGATGTGATGGGGGACGTGGAGCTGCTCCCCACTCGACCCCCCAGCAACAAATGCCTGCTTGGTCATCTCGTAGGTGAAGTCCAGCTGTTTGTCTCCCTTGTTGAGACGGAACTTGGATTTCCTTAGGTCCCTGAACTTGCCATTTTTGGCGGTGAAGTCCACCACCCACGGAAGAACCGGGTGGTAGTTGGGGTCTCCCATTCTCCTCCCAGCCAAACTGTTTAGACACATAAGGTAGTCAAAGTTGCTGACCTGCCCGTGCACCCACTGCAACACCAGGTCTCGGAGGTCCTTCTGGCAGGTGGTGCACCTCGCCTCCTGCCCAACATGGCCTTGCTCACTCACTCGTTCCACACCAGCCTCCAGGTTCACTTCCTCCTTTCTCGGTCCCTCGTACTCTCTGAAGTTCACACGCAGGCGGCTGCACAGCTTCTCATCCACAGCCACGTCCCGAAGTGAAAAGGCACCACAAGCCAGACCCGCCTGGTGACAAGCCCTCATGGCCTGCAGCACGTGGAAGAGGAGGAAGAGAATTTTGGCGTGGCTGTTTGTGAGCTTGGCCGGGCTGAATGTCACGATGTCGTGCAGGCAGTACTGCACATACGGGTAGACAATGTAGAGCACGTCGGCTGACTCCAGCAGCGCTTCCGCCTGCAGCACATTGGGGCAGGAGGGCACCCCTTTGGTGGCTGCCAGGCTCTCCTTGGCAGGGGAAGCACCGTGCACATTCCTGCCCACCTGAAGGACCGGGCAGCCATACACCTTCTGCAGGGCAGCCCGGAGGGCATCCAGGGCCGGCACGGTGGGCGGCGCATCCGCGTGCTGGTAGGGCCGCGCGTACCGGGCGTGAGCCCGGCACCACAGGTTGCGGTAGTTCTGAGTGGCCACGCTCTGCATGAAGCCATGTAGGGTCTCTGGGTGGTCAGAGCTGGGGGGCTGCACCTGCAGCGGGTACCTCAGCCGGTCCTTCCACAGCCCGTGGATCTCCACCCGGGTCCAGCCCACGGGCAGCTTCTCCACCGAGTGCTGCAGGAACGTCCTCACCTCCACCTCGCTCAGCCCCTCTGGGCGTGGGCACAGGGCGGGCAGCGCCCGGCGCTCCCGGAGGCTCAAGAGCCATTTCACTGGGACGAAGGCGGTGACGTGGGTCCTGTCGGTGGCGGCGGCCAGCTGCCGGCGGTCGATGCTCAGGTCCCTCTCCACACTCTGCAGGAAGCTCTCCATGTTGGCTCCTGCTGGGAGGAAGGTGGCCCAGAGGGGCTGTGAGCGAGCAGAGCAGCGCAGCACCGTCCTGCCCTCCCTGTCACGCGACAAGTCTCACTTCCCCATTGGCACCCGGAGCAAAGAAAAAAAGCTGTTTTAAGGGCTTGGTCGCTGTATCATGAGGTGGGGGTTGAGAAGAGACCAGCCCGGGAAGGGAGGGACACAGTGGGACCTCTGCAGTCAAGCAGGGGGACATGGTGGGGTTTACACAGGGAGGGAAACATGATGAGACCTGCACAGTCCGAGTGCTGGGGAAGGGGACGCCATGGGATCAGTGTGGGGGCATGATAAGACCTGAACAGACTCCTGGGGAAGGGGATATGATGGGACCTCTGCAGGTGGTGGGAGGGCCACAACGGCACCTCCACAGCCCCAGCCTTGAGCGAGGGACATGACGGGACATCCAGAGCCACAAGGGCTGATGGCGGGAACTTGATGGGACTTGGGGCTGGGGGGTGCACGATGGTCATCTGCACCCCCAGGGTTGGTGGGGGGTACACGCTGGCCCCAGGTGACTCAGAGGATGCCCAGAGCAATGAGCGCATCCCCAGCACCGACCCACGGCCACGGCCAGAGTCGCGGCCCCGCGCCCCGCAGGGCCCTCGCCCCCGGAGAGGAGGGAGTGCGGAGCCGGGCTGAGCCCCGCGGGCTCGAGGGCCGGTCCCGCGAGCCCTCACCCCGCGGGAGGAGGAGGGGACCCTCACCGCCCCGGCGGCCCCGCGTTACCTGACGGCGGCGGCTGCGGCGGCGGCGGAGCCGCGGCGGGGGCGGCCCCGGCCATGTTGGTCAGGTGACGGCGGTCACATGCGGCCGCCGCGCCGCCATGTGCGCGGGGGGGGCCGGCACCTGCAGCCCGCGGGGCCCGCGCGGGGCCGGGCCGGGGCTCTCCGGGGCGGGCGCGGGGCGGTGCGGCGGGGCCGGGGCGCGGGGCCGGGGCCGAGCATGGGCAGCGGCGGGGCGGGACACGGCGGGGACACGGCTGGCCCCTGACGTCACGGTGACGTCAGAGGCGCCCCGGGCTGTCAGCTGGAGCTGGGCGAGCCGCGCTGACGAGGCAGCCGGTCTTAAAGGGGTCTCCTGCCCGCGGCGGGCGGACCCCACCCACCGGCGGCAGGTGAGTGCCGGTAAAGGGGAGCGGGGCCAGCCCGGCCCCGCCACCCCAGGACTCTCCCGTTTGGCCCTGCCCAACCCCTGTGCCTTTGAGCCGAGCCGGGTCCGCCCGCTGCCGCCCTCGGGTCGTGCCGGGGCTGCGGGCACGGAAGTGCCCGCGGGGGACACGAGCGGGGCAGCCACGGGCGGCCACACCGCGCGCGGCCCCTTTAAGGGGCGCCGGGGGCTCCCACCGGGCAGCGCCGCATGGCGCGGCGGCGCGTGGGGGCGTCACGTGGGTGGGACGTGGCGGCGGGTCATTGGCCCGCCCAGCCTGGCCCGCCGCAATCAGCTGTTACTGGGGCGAAGGGCAGGAGGCGGCCTTAAAGGGGCACCGCGGCCCCAGCACTCGCTGACCCCACTGGCTGAGCAGCCTGGTAGGGAACATCAGTGTAGTGGCTGTGCGCGAGACAGTAGGTGAGCCCCGCTGATCGGGCCGGGCCGGGCCGGGCCGGGCCGGGCTGTTGTTGCCCTGCGCTCTCCCTTCCCCCGCCGCCCGCGGCGGGCGCGGCCCCTTTAAAGAAGTTGTCCAGTCATCGCGCGGCGCTGCCAAGTCATCGGGGTCACCCGAGTCCTCGCGGCCACGCCCCCCGCGCCCGCCTATTGGCACGCGCGCCGAGCACTCACTTCTGATTGGTCCGAGGACTTGGAGCAACTTCTCGGAATCGGGGCTGTGTCACCGGCCCCGGGCGCTGGAAGGCGCCGCCCGAGGGCGGCCCCCACGGCAGCGCCGCACCCCGCCCGGGGCCCGCGGGAGGGTCAGGCCCCCTCTGGGGCCATCCCGTCCCCGCCGCCCCTTCCCCCCTCTTGAAAATGCCAACTCACAGCACGCGGGGCATGCCGGGAGCGCCGCGCCGCACTACAACTCCCGGCATGCCCCGCGGCGGCCCGCCCGTTTCCAAGGCAACCGCCGGCCCGCGAGGCGGGAGCCAGACTCTTCCCCAGCGCGGTGGGCAGGGCGGAGGGATGGCTTCCGCTCCCCATTGGCCGGGCGCCGGGTAGCGCCGAGCCTCCATTGGCGGGAGCGAGCGTCAATCGCGGCGCGGGGGCGGGCGCGGCTCGCGGCGGCGGTGCCGGCCGGCGATTGGCCTGGGGGCGGGGCCGGGGGCTGAGGGGCGGGGCCGGGGGCGGCTGCGTCATGACTCTGCCAGCTGATCCGGGACGGAGCCGGCGCGGCGGGGGAGGCGGCGGCACCGGCACCGGGAACAGGGACCCGCCACGGCCCGGCGGCACCGGTGGGACCGGACCCGCGGGTAGGTCCGCCAGCACCGCGCTGGGGCGCGCGGTAAGAGCGGCCGAGCCCCCCGCCGGTGCGCCGGGGGTCGAGGGGCTGCGCCCCACCGGGGACGGGAGGGGTCGGGAAGGGAAGGTGACCTTCCCCCCGGAGCAGGGCGGCGGTGGGGGCCCGGCGCGGCGCGTCCCGTCCCTCCCCTGGCCTCGCGGCGCCGCCCGGGCCGGGCGGCCTCGCCCCCGTTGGTGTCGGGGCGCGGTACGGGGGGGTTTGGGGCCGGGGCCGGTGCGCGGCCCCCGCGCCGGGGGGTGTCCCGGTGGGGCGGGCGGAGCCGCGGCCGGAGCTTCCCGCGACGGGCGGTGGCCGCCCCGGGGGTGACCTTCACTCCGGGACCGGGCTGGGCAGACTTTGACCTGAGGCCGCTCCCGCCGCGGGCACGGGCCGGAGCATCCCGGGCGGCGGAGGGGCGGGAGGGGCGGCGGAGAGTCCCGGGAGGAGCGGAGGGAGCGGCTTGGCCGTGGAGTGGCGGCGGCGGGGAGCGGTCTCGGTTAGAGGGGGATCGGGGGTGTTGGTTTTACCGGGAGGAGAGGCTCTGGTGGAGGGGGGTGACCCGGTTATACCGGCAGGGGGGCACCGGCTGTGGGCACAGCGGGTTTTATTAGCGGGGCGAGCTCCCAGCGGGGCCCCTCCCAGAGCCGATGGGGTCTGTCGGTGCCGAGGAGGGGTGGGTGGGAGCCGTGTTACCGTCAGCACCCCCCCTCATCAGCCCCCGGTGCCGGCGGGGCCGGTGGCTCAGCGGCGGGTGCTGATTCACGGGCCGGCGGGGGTGGAGCAGGGCCGGGACCAGCTCACTGGAATCCGGACCAGATGTACCCGGCACGCCAGGAATGCTCGGCATCCCCGCCGGGCCCCGCCGCCGCCGCTGCGCCCCGGCCACCGGCCCCGCACCGGGAGCCTCCTCGCAGCCCCGAACCGGGGTCCGGCCGCACCCGCCGCCCGCTGAGGCCCGGGGCCAGACAGGGTCCCCCGTACCTTTGGGGTGACGCCGGCGGGAGGATGTTGTGCTGGCCCCCAGGGAGTTTCCCGGTGTTGTCTGTCCCCCCACCGGGTCCGTCTGTCCACCCTGCCAGGCCCGATTGCCTGGGGGTTTTCCCAAAACTCAACCCCCAGTAGCTAAAACGCTGGGTTGGTGTGGAAAGGGGACTTTTCCCGGGCTGAAGGGGAAGCAGCGGGGTCTCACACCAGCCCTGGGGGTTGGCGTCCTTGCCCTCCAACAAAATGACTCGGGGTGGGAGGGCGGGGGGAAAAAAAAGCTGCACTCCCGAGAATTCCCCCACCAGTGGCTTGGCAGCAGCCGCCTGACAAAGTGTCTTCCCCGTCAGGAGGCTCCTGGCCTCTGGCCAGGTGGGACCCTGCCAGCGCCGATGGATGCCCGAGGTGAGCCGACAGGGAATGCCATAACCCCTACCTGCAGTGGCCTCCCTGCCCTGCCTGGAGCAGGCTTTCTTATCTCTTATTTTTCCAGCAAAAACGGCCTTGGGTTTCCCGTCGCTCGTGGTTTAGGGCCGGCTGCAGGTGCTGGAGCTCACGCACCACCTGCTTTGGGAGAGGGAAGGGTTGAGGTCGGAGCTGCCTCTGGATTCCACGCGATGGGGGGGATTTCAGCCCCGAGGAGCTTCCCTGGGGGGAAGACAAGGTGGTAGATCAGGACCTGGTGTTGGAGTGGGGGAGAGGAGCAGTCCTAGTGCTGTGGGTGATGGCTTGGTGTGGTTTGATCCTGGCTCTGATCCATGTATTTCCTTTCCAGGTGCTTCCATGCCCCCTTGCTCCTGGCTAACCAGCACCAGTTCTTCAGTGGCAAGCTTTATGTCCTTCTCCAGTAGCTAAAGCTGCCAGTTGAAGAACTGTTGAATGTAGCCACTCTCTTCTTGTCACTGGGACCTTGGATGCCAGCCAGACCCGTGCCCTGAGTGACCAGGATCAGCCAGTCTGAAGCGTCCTGTGGATTTGAGGGCTGAGGATGAGTCCAGCCAGGATGAAGAAGTCTCTCCACAGCCTCCAGACAGAGCCTTGGCTGGGGGATTGCCAGGCAGCCCTGTCAGCGGGGTCCTGCTGCAGTGGGGTATCACTGAGCTGAGAGGAGACCAAAAGAGGCATTAAACTTTCTGTTTTGCTCAACAGTTCAGTTTTAGGAAGTTTGTTGCCCATGGGGTGCCCGGACTTGCCTGGTGGGTAGATGATGGGGGTTGTAAACCCTTTGGGATTCTGGGGGGGCCACAGCACCAGAGCTCAATCCCTGATGCCCTGTTGGGGTCTGCAGGTGGAGGGTTGGTTGTTCAGGTCCCCTGGGTTTGCCCCGAGCCAGAGGTGAGCCAAGGCTGGGCGTAGCCCACAGGTTTGACCTGCTGTTGAGCTCAGGAGCTGGATTAATCCTGTGACATGCCAGGCAGTGGGATGGAGCCTGGGGAGAGGGCTGGCTCCACACCCACGCTGCCCTGGTGCGGGTCAGGGCCGGCTGCGGTGGGGCTGGGCCACTGGGAGAGGGTGACTCAGGTCCGAGTCACGCGCGGCTCTGGAGCCTCTGGACGTCTGTTCCCGGAACCACTATCTGTCCTGTGAGGCTGAGCAGCCCTGACTGTGGCTGGCCCTGGGGCAGCACCAGGATTCCAGGTATTTTGGAGCCAGCAGCACTGAGAGGGGCCCAGGTGAATCTTATGAGGCTCCTCCATGGTCCAAGCTCTGCCTCGTTGGTGGATAGAAGCAGAAGACTTCTCTGAAAGGAACCTGGAAGCTGCTCTCCAGGGATGGTGACCCCTCCCTGCCTTGCACTGAGTGAGAGAGAAGCTCTGTGTGGCCACAGCAAGGGCTCCAGGGAGCCTCTGCACTCCAGGAGGTGCCTTTCCCACGGGTCTGCCAGGACCACCACCCCCCAGGCTGCCTTGGTGGCTGGGAATCAGAGGAGTGTCCAGGCACTGCTGCTCGGGGCCTGCCAGGAAGAGCACAGCTCATCCCAGCTCTGAGGGCGGGCAGGGAGGAACGGCCTGTGCTGAAATGTCTGCACAATCTCAACTAACTCTGCCTGCCTGGGCTCCAGCCGCCCAAGGCAGGGCTGTTCCCAATTTTGGCACCCAGCAAAGCACAGAAAGCAGCCTGGTGTCCATTAAGTGGTAGAAGTGGAGCAAATCTGTTGTCCTGGGGTCTTTCCTTCTTACACAAAGCTGCTCTTCTTGGCTTGTGCTTCCTGATGGCTACGAGAAGCTGAATTTCTTTGGGGTGGTTGTCACCCAGAGGGAGTGGGGCTGCTGAACCCCCCTGGGATTAGTTCCTCCAGCTTGAGGCAGAGCCTGTCTCTTCCACCACGGCTGCCCTGCTGCAAGTCCATACAAAACAACTGGCACCTGCTCAGTGGCCAACACCTCCTGGAGTGCACTGAGGGGGCAGAAAAGCGTGGGGGTGTGGGGGTGTGTGCAGGGTGCCCAAGGGCAGGGAGGAGCAGCTTCCTGGGCTTACTCCCCTTCTTATGCAGCACAGCTTGATAGGGATGGGAGCTGGTGCTCTAGCCACCAGCACCTCTGCCCTTGTGTGCCTCGGGATACAGGGAATGCATAAATTTGTCATGAAGGAATAACCTGCACTGCTGAAACCCCATGGTAAGATGTGGCTATTTCAGGGCAGAGAGTTGCCCTGAGCAGAAGCACGGAGTCCACGGGGTCAGGAAATGCAAAACGTCATATTTCAGGTCAAATTCATATGCGAGAAGGTGCCAGAGGGCAAGTTTGTGTATTTAACACAAAACCAGTTCTGCAGTATCTCACCTGCTGAGCAGAGGGCTCAGGCTCTGGCTATCCTGCAGCTCATGTAAAACCAGAGGGGTTTTAGGCTGACAATAAGTGTCCCTGTGGGAACTTGCCCAGCTCCTGGGACTTACCCTTCCTCTTGCAAAGCCCCATGTGACTGCTGAGTAAGTGCAGGGTTTCCTGTAGAAAGCACAGCCTCGCTCGCTGTTGCCTTGCAAAAAACTGGATGACTCTTTCCTCCAGCATCTGTCCACCTCCCCGAAGCATCCAGCACGAAGGGACGTGGCAGGAGAGGGGATGCTGACTGGAGCTGGGATTTCTCTGCCGGAGGCTGGCTGCTGTCAGGGGTGGGAAGCGCTCGCTGCGGCAGCTAATGCAATATTCAAGACGGCAGTGACAGTGCCAGCAGGTGCTGCTGGCTCAGAGGTCGGGTGGCATTTTTGTTCTTAGGGGCAGGGTATTCCCTGCGAGTTCCTGCGCACAGACCACCCTGTTCCCAGCCGGGAGAGCAGCTTGTCTCGCTCACAGCTCCCCTTGCTGGGGAAATGTGCTTTTGCAAAGGAGAAGGTCAGCGTGACCGGTGTGCTGGATGAAAGCTCCCTGCCAACAGGGAAGGAACAGGAGGAGCTGGTTTTATCTGTGGCGGGTGGATGTGTGGTGGCTGCTGCCTGCACAGACTCCCAGCTAAGCCTCAGGCCACAGGCAACCTCCTCTTTTCCAGCCCAGCAGATCACTAGAAGAAGAGGGAAAGCTCTGCTGTGCTTTGCCCCAGCACACGAGTGAGGAGCGAATCTGCAAACGCAAAATGCAGGTGCTGATTTCGGCTTTGCTGATGGTTTTATTTCTCCAGGACAGGAGGATGTGGAGCTGTTAACCCTTGGGTATGTGCCCCTCACAGGGGCAGGTACCAAGCTCAGGTTTGTGCCAGCGAGGAAATGTTGCCGATGTCACAGGCCCTGCAAACAAGAGGAAGGTCGAGGATTTGCGAGGATTTGCCGAAACTCATCTGGGCTTTGTGTCTTTCAGTGGGCTCTGCCAGCATGGGGAGCAGCACAGAGCCACCCACCAGCTCAGCCAGGCTGTCACTTACTCTGCTTCTTCTTTGGAGATTAGTTTCCCCAAGTATAAAACTTCTGCAACGAGAGACACCATGGGGTCGCAGTTCAGGCTGGCAGCTGCTGTCACATGGCCATCCCTGAGAGGGAAAGAGGAAGAATGTGGATCTCCTCAGTGTACATAGCTCAGCACAGCAGCGTCCTCGTGGCACCCTGACTGGAGACCAGCTGTATTTCAGAGGGCTCAGGGCAGAGTGGTTGGTGCTGCAGGATGCACAGGGACTTGTGGCAGATCGCCTGGCACTGCTGGGAGCTGGGCACCGAGCCTTGGAGCAGCGGGGCAGAGGGAGAGGAGACGTGTCCCAGGCTCCCTGCCCAGCTGGTGTCTTCATTGAAGCTCATCCTCTTCTCCCTCCCTGCCCTGCTTTGGTTTTCTCTGGAACCATCTCACTGCTGGTTCAGCGCCCAGCAGCCACAGGAGGTGATGTGGAGCCTCTGCGGAATCTCTGCAGGCTGTAAGGGAGAGAACCTTGCCCTGTTCCCGCAGCAGTGCTGTGTCAGGGCATGGACTGGCTATGGATTCACTCACTTGAGGTAAAAGATCAGGAACTTCCGTTGCTCCAGGCTGCCCTTCACAACAGTGTCCGTGTATCCCTTTCCACAGCCTGTGAGAGAGAATGTCACAGCCTGCTCGGGGAGACCTGGCACAGCAGCTGCCACCCATCCCACCTCAGAGCCATCACAGGTAGGGACAGAGGGCACAGTGACTGGCTGGGGCAGAGCTGGGGAGCAGGCATGAAGGCCCTGGGCAAGCAGAACTGATGCAGAGCTGCACAACTGCATCATGACCCTGAGCCTTTCCTTGGCTCAGAGGGGGAGGTCCTTCCTCCTTTGTGACCTCTAAACCACTTGAGATCAGCGAAGAACAAGAGCTCTGGGTAACATTCAGGCCCAGAGCTCGAACTCGCCGAGGCAGCCAGTCCAAAACTTGAGCTGCTTCAGGTGAACTCTGCAACCACCGTGTTTACAAGCCCAGACCCAGCTGGTGGGTGAGCAATGGGCAGGGAAGAAGTTCTGCTGTTCCCATCTCTCTGCCCCCTCCTACCTGCATAGCGGATGCTTTTCCCAAGCAACGTGGTCCAGAAGAAGGGAACGGTGTGCAACTCCTTCTCTTTCTTCAGCATGTTTAAGGCAGCAATGTGACCTGTGACGAGCCAACAGAGGAAATATTTTTCTCGAAGGTGCTCAAAGAAGTGTTCTCTGCCTCTTGTTATCCTGCCCTGTCCCTTCTGCCCCATTCCCTCCTCCAGGGGAGCTGGAAAGTGAGGTGGCTGAGCTCTCACCGTGGGCCTCAGCCACTTGTTGGTGATGGATGCTGGACCGGTCCCCGTTGAGAAGCGCTACTGGAAAGGACACCACGTCCCCCGCAGCGAAGACATTTGGGATGTTGGTTTGCATGTGCTAAGGGGACAAAGAGCAGTTAGTGCAAGGATGAGAGTGGAGGGATGGGGTTGGCCTCGGAATACTCAGCTGGCACTCACCAGATCCACCAGGATGGCACCTTTGTCATCTCTGGCAATGGAGGTGCCCTTCAGAAATGCTGAGCTGGGGGTCGACCCTGCAGGGAGAGGAGCAGGGACAAAAGGCAGGGAGGAAATTTGGTCCCACAGCAAACATGTGCCCGTGCTGCCTGCTCAGCCTGCTCAGGGCTGAGCACTTGCTCTGTTCAGCACTCAGAGCACGAGCTGTGCTTGGGCTGGTGCTGAGCTAATCCAGGGGCAATAAAACCAGGGCCCAGGACACGGCACGCTCCAGTAACACAGCAGTGACCTATGGAGCTCAGCAAGTGAGCCAAAGGCACTCTGAGTGTAATTGGCTCCCTTCCTCCAAGGCCAAGTGCTTGTTCATGAACTGCTGACTTTCTGCAGGTGTTCGGGGCCAGGAGGAAGGGCTGGATGATAACAGAATGGGAAAGAGACTGCAGGGAATGGTGTCCTGGGAATGAACTGTGGTGTTCTGGGCTTGCAGACTGTTCTCCCCATTCCCAAAGAGCCTCACTCTCCCAACTGTGGTCTCTTACCTATTCCCACCACTACCACATCTGCAGGTAATTTCTCTCCGTTGGCAAGAACAGCCTCTGTGACCTAGGAGAGAAGGAAGAATCATTAATAAAGGGTTAAAAACACTGTCCTAATTCCGGCAGCCTCCCTGCTGCTTCATTCTTTGCTGTCTTTTTTCTTCCCCAGGTTCGGATCACCTTGTCCAACTAACGTGCGTTGCTGGGAATGTAAAAGAAAATCACAGTGCTGTCCCTGAGAGAGGAACACTTACTGGTGCCCTTTGAGCCCAGAGCTGTACTCATTGAAAAGAAAGGGAGGGTCTAGACATGGGAGAGGACAGTCGAGATGTAGACACTGGGTTATACCTCAGTTTGGGATTTTTTTTCCCCTAAAATTAGCAGTTCAGGGATCACAGAGGCATGACTGACCTTTCCATACTTTCCTTTCAGCTCACAGAGTTCTGATTTCATGTGGAACTTCACCCCTTTATTTTGCAGCATCTGAAAAGGACTGGTTTCAGTATTCATTAGGAAATTCCAGGCTGTACTGCTATAAAAACAGCTCTGCCCAGCCAAAACCCAGGCAGACAGCACAGCTGCTGCTCCAGGCTGCAGAGAGGTTTCATTTGTGTCCCTGGCTGTTGCAGGGACCCTGGAAGCCTGGCTTTTCTCTGCAGTCTCAGTCAGGACTGGTGTGTGCGGTGGGTTTGGGATGAAGCAGGGCTGGGGAGTGTGATGTGTGCGTGGGGAGGTTGGGACCAGCCATGTGTGAGGCTGGTGCTGGGCACACAGAGTTATGACTCAGCACAGGGGCGAGGTTTCCTGGGCTGTCGTGGATCACTGGGCTGCCTGGATAATGTGTGTTCTCCCTCCTAGAATTTAGTGCCAGGTTTTCCTAACCTTCATGGCGACTCCTCCAACCTGAGGACCCAGAGCGTGCTGGAAGGGGAACTCCTCTCTTTCCACCACTGAGATGGTACCAGCCTTGTCTGAGAGGAAGGCAGCCACCTCCATTCCTGCAAGGGAAAGGCATGCCCAAGGTAAGCCTGCTGCAAGCATCAACCTGTATCCTCCTGCTTGGAAATCTTTTCCCCTTCCAGGAGAGCAAATCTGATGTGTTGCCAGTGCTTAACTGCTTTGCTATGCATTTCTGGGCTGAGGTATTTAGCTCCCCACTGTCTTTGTTCTTGTGCACTACAGACCTGGATATTAGGAAATGCAAAGAGCAGCTCCTGGTTTTGAACAAAATAGCCCCCTTCCTGTGCCTTGCCTCCTCGCTTTCCCAATGCTTCTGAGGAATCCAGCTCCTCTGAAGGACAGTGACCTTTTATAAAGCACATTTCCCTCTGTCCTTGTGCAGGAATTGTTTATAGCTCTCAAAGTTTCTGGCTATCAGAGGAAAGAATGAGTGGGTGCTGTGTAATGCACACCCCCAGCAGCTACAGGGCTCCAGGGAGAATCCCAGCTGTGTAGAAAATGAACATCCCTTCCCTGAGGGCCTCTGGTTCATCTGCACAGGCAATAGAAGTGCTCACTGATAGCTTGATACCCACTCCAGCCTGCTACCTACGAATGAAGCTCCTACGATCACCAGATTCTTCCCGGTTGCCAGCTCCAAGATTTTGCTGGAGTCTTCTGGGGTTTGGAGAATGCACACGTTCTGCAGGTCTGCACCTGGGACTTTGAGGAAGCTGGAGCTGAAAGAGAGAAAATCCAGATGCATCTCATGATCAGAAATTAAACAGAAAGAACGAGGAGGGAGCACAAGCCTATGGCTGTGTCATCCCATCCTGTCCTTTCATCTCATTTCCTACCACCTCCCTCAAACAACTCCAATTCCGCGTCCCAGTGTTGACCCATCCTGTCCTGCCTCTAATTCTGTGTGTGGCAAATGCTTTGTGCACTCACTGGCTGCCTGTTGCAATGAGCAGCTGATGGTATTTCTGAGAGGAACCATCCATGAAGTGGACCTGCTGCTTCTGGAAATCCACCGACACTGCCTGCAGGAGAGAGGGGTCAGAGATCAGGCAGGCACCTCTGACCCACTGGTGTCCTGCCTGTCTTGCCTGTGGCTGTGTGCCTGGTTTCTGGACACTCAGGTGAGATGAGGGATGCTGGGGTCCTCTCTCCCACTTCCTAAAGGTCCATCCATGGGCTGCACAGACCAGTGTTACACCCAAGGTATGGACACCATCTGTAGCACTGGCCTGGGAATGCTGTCCCAGAAGATAATACATGTATTTAGGAGAGCTCTAATTTATAGTATCATAGAATGGTTTGGGTTGGAAAGGACCTCAAAGACCATCTCATTCCACCTCCCCACTGGGGGCAGGGACACCTTCCACTATCCCAGGTTGCTCCAAGCCCTGTCCAACCTGGCTTTGAACACTTCCAGGGATACAGGGGCAGCCACAGTTTCTCTGGGAAATCTGTGCCAGGGCCTCACCACCCTTATAGTAAGGAATTTTTTCCCCTCACCATGGCAGGAACAGGATCAACGATTGAAGACTAAGCTCAGCTGCTCTGGTACCTCTTTCTCTGTCCAGAACTCTATGCCCTGAGCATCAAGGAATTCAGGTTTCCTCAGGTAGATGTCCTCAGCTTTCAAGTCCATTTCCTGAAAACACAACAGAAATGTGAAATAAAGCACTTCTTACAAACAGCAATTTTCCTTCAGTGTTTACTGGTAAACCAGTTTACATAAGAGGTAAATTTCCCATTAATCAATCACAGCTCCCCACACTGCCCCATCCCCAACCTCTTGTTCTCCCTCAGAAAAACCATCAACTCAAACTCTAGCGGGAAGAACTCAGTAAAAGGAGAGAAAACCATCAACTTGTGGGGGACTCTGATCAAAGACTTCCTGGGAGGGAGAAGTGAGATGTTTTCTGGAATTTTTACCCCTGTTCCCTGTGAGTACCTCAGCACTCCTGCTTTGCCAGGACGGCTCACTCAATTGCTCAGCCTGGCCCTCAGCGTGGGCCACGTCCCACGTGGTGCCCAGGCACAGTCCTTGCCCTTGTCACACACAAACCTTGCTCAGTTTGGACTTGTCGTATGGAACATGTTTCTCTTTAGTGGCCATGATGATCCTGCCAGTAAAACCCTCCTGGCGAAGCGTCTCCGCGCACACCAGGGCAGCCACACCTAGAGGAGATGCTCATCTCAGCCCTCTTACACACCACCGTGGAGTAGGAGGAGCAGGTAAGCCCTCCCTGGAGAAGAGAGTGGCAGCTCACAGCGTGTGTGGAGAGGGCACAGCACAGACCCCTTCACTGACCTCCCCCCAGCAGCAGCTTCGTGTTCTGGTTGACAAGGCACCGCCTGCTTCTGTCCTTCACCCTCAGGCTGTTTTCAAGGTCCTAGAAAAAAATGAGAAAAGCTGAAGTCATGCCCAGCCCAAGGTGCTGCTCGTGCTCAGTGGCAGCAGGTAAGGTCAGTACCTTCTTTTTTGCTGTAACAAACACCTTTCCATCTTCCACTGTTACCTGAAGGGGGCAAGGAGAGGGCATTTAAGTGCTGCATCCATGGGGTTGTGGTAGGAGCTCACCTAACTCTGATCTTAGATGTCAAATGATGCTGAGCTTTCCTCCTCATTCCAAGAGCACTCAGGAAGAGGTGTAAATCATTTTTATTTCCCACAAGAGCTGTGCTGGCTGTGAGGGACACCAGGATATATGGCATCACCTTTGATTCAAAGGAGCTTTAGGGCAGGGAGTTACAAGATCCCGAGAAATCATCCCATGTGTTGTAGCTCTGTATGACCTGGACCACGGAGGGGTGGCCAGGGACCACTTTCAGTTGGTGTCAGGAATACAGAGCTTATGAGAGAGAATGAATGTGAGAGGTGCAGAGGACACAGCCCGAGACGGGAGGAGAAAAAGCTGAGAGGTCACCTTAAAGCAGGAGATACAGTCCAGAGAAGGGTATTCTTCGATGTCTCCAGTTCTGATGTTAAAGCAGGCGCCGTGCCAGGGGCAGCGCAGCCTCTCCCCTCTCAAGACCCCTGCAACAGAAACCCCCCACAGCTGGGCAGTGAGAACCAACCTCCTCAACGTGGCTTCTCCCCCTGCCCCGAGCTGGGGTTACCTTTGCTGAGCGGGGCACCATAGTGGGGACATTTGCTGCCCAGGGCGCTGAACTCCTTCCTGTTCCTCACCAGCAGCACTGGGTAACCAGCCACCATCACCTCCAGGAGCCTGTGGGAGAGGTGGGGAGGTGGGCACACAATCACCTGGCTCCCCACCACCACCACCAGGTACTCACTCTCCATCCCCAACGTCGTCCTCCCTGCAGACCTCGGCGGTGACGGTGTTGGTGTCATCGCTGTCCATGCCGGTGGCTGCTGGGAGCTGGTCAACACCAGGCACTTAAGGGGTCCCAAACTCCTGATACAGCATGAAAAAGCCCTCAGCTGGTGGAAAACACCCATTTCACCCCCTTTTTTAACTTTGTGTCCAAACCTGAAGTCCATTCCTCTGTCCTTTTCTCCTCTGACTTAACCCACTTTTTGTTTTCAGCCCTGTGTCCCATTAAACTGCAGTACAGGGTTAGTCAGGAGATATGATTAATGACTGTTGTAAATAAATGCAATTATTTATGGGGAGGTGCTGCTGCCTTATCCCCTGTCTCCCCCAAATTGGGTCTAAAGAGCCACTTCAGCATCTTGAAAACCTCTCTAAAATTTTTGCAGAGATGTTATTCATGCTAATTGCCATGAAAGCATTAATCCCCGCCCAAAATACCTCTTGGGCTAGAAAAGTGAGAAAACCCTCAGTCCTTAATGCTCTCCCTGCCTTAGCAATCAGTTGAGAGGCTGATTAGGAATCTCCCTCTCTGTTTCGGAGAAAAAAAAGCAAGAAATGGAGCAGAGTGGGGGCCATTTGAGGCAGGTTTCGGTACAGGGTGGTGACTTGCTCCTGCAAATCCCTGCTGCAACACTGCCCCGCTCCCAGGGCCCTTGGGAGAAGCATTGGTGGGTACTCACCTGGTCCTGCTGGGGGGGTTCTGTCACCTGTCCCCCGGCTCAGAAAGCCACCACCGCTGCCGTCTGCGACTTTCTCCTCTGAGGTGACACCCTGGTGTCTCACCACAAGTGCTCTGCCCGCTGCCAGCCCACGGCTGGTGATGCTCTCCCCGCGTTGCACAACGTCCCCATCTGTCAGGAGATGCATCTCCTGGAAGCGGCCTCCTGCCAGGGACTTTTATCTGATTTCTGCAACTGGTCTGTGCCTAATTAAGTGCATTTTGCTTGGGTTTAGAGTTGCAAAAGAACTGAGGACACATAGGAATTATGGTGCAGGTGTGGTGTAAAGACAGGGTGCGTCATGGGCAGCATGAACAGAAACTCGAGTGGATGCAGTGACATCCCACTGCAACTTTCCACTGCCCCTTCTCCCCATGGAAAGCACTCTAGCTCAACAAAACGTATTTTTGCAGCACTTCAGAATGATATTACTACTTTTTACATACTTCAGTAACATTTAAAATTCCTTAATTCGATATTTCAGTGAGATTTTTCTCCGCTGATTTTAAGGCACGTGAAGTGTTCAGCACCTTTGCACGTGCCTTATGGCCCAGCTCTGCTCCTGGTTCAGTCACCAGTGTCCAGGCACACGATCCCATCGTTGCATGGAGCATGAAGGATGGCATGGAGCAGGGTGCTGCTTTCTGTACTATTTTTTATAACAGAGTGGGAGTTGCAAAAAACCAGGAGTAACGCCTACGCTGTTTGTGTCTACTCTCGTTCTTATCTCTATTTCACAGTCAGTATGTTTCACAACTTTAAAATATGCCTTAAATATTAAGGGGGGGGGAAAGTTACCAACAGCGTGCTTCCAGCATCTCCCTTGCAGAACCAGACGTTCGCAGGGATCAGCTTTCTGCACGTGGCACATTCCCAAATCCAGCAGTGGGGGGGATAAAAATCCTTTGGTGGGCATGGCCTGGAGAAGATGGCAGGCACAGGTATGCTGGGTAAGTGCAAGCTGGCTTGTTTGGGAAGCAGGTCACTTTTTTGGACCCACCAAGCTGTGACCACCCTTCCTTCAGATCCAGGTGCTGGGACGCTGCCGGGTATGGATGATCCTGGCCCACGGGGGATGCACGCCCACGATGGGCACAGGTACAAGGTATTTTCTCACAGCACCAATGAGCAGCTTCTGGGCTCTGCCCTTCTGGCCAGGAGCCTGAATGTGAAGCAATTTTGGCTGCCAAACGTCCGTATTTAAACTCTCTGTAATTATTCCCCCAGAAGCGCGTTCCCACGTGGAGAAGCAGCAGCCCTGGTGGAGGCATTCTCTGACTCAGCAGAAATCGCTGGAGAAACATCTGCTCGGGGATGAAAGCTGCAGTGCACAGGCAAAGGGGCAGGTACAGAGGTGTGCAGCTTTGGGAGCCTTTGGGATGAGCCAGGTGGAGCTTGATCCTATATGATGGCACTGATATTACGGGGCTGGTTTGGCCGCTGGGTGCCCATGGATGCTGCTGGATGCTGCTGGATGTGGCTGGATGCAGCTGAGCACCCAGGGAAGGGCTTTTGTAAAATGCAAAGGGATAAAAGGCAAAACAAAAAGCCCTTCTCTGATGAAGGCAAAGATGATGGGAAAGGACAGAAAGTGGAAAAGGGCATTGCATGTCAGAGGGCAGGTTTGGGTTGGCTGCAGGGATGCTGGGTTAGTGTGTGTGAGAGCCAGCACTCAGGAACACACACAGTCCCCTCGAGGGATTCAGGCAGCGGGATGGGATTGGAGGCAGATTTTCAGGAAGATGCTCTGTAAGCATGTTTTGGCCCTCTGTTAGGTAACCCAGAGGTAATTGCTCAGAGTGATTTAGACCTCTGCTTGTAACACAGATCAGGATTAAACATAGGAAGGAAGAGAGCAAAAGGAAGTGGTGCCCTCAACCGCAAAGAGAGCCCAGGTGGGCATCGAATGTCTCCAACCAGACCTGCCACCCACATAGGTACTGACTCACATGGGCTGCTGAGCTGACTTTGTGTTTTATTAGATATCTTCATTTTTGCTCTCCAGTGTTGCCAGCGCTCCAGAAATTCAAGTTTAGAGGCGAAGATTTAAGGGGTGTAACTCTCCTCCCTTCAAGCCCCCTGCTACCTCCTCCCTGCTACACCAGCTGGTGTAGCACATTTTTTCCACGCTGTAAAGCAGTCGTGGTTCTGTGGATGTGTCCCTGTCCCAGCTTTGCCTGTCCCCAGCTCGCCCAGCTCAGGGCCCTTCCCTGCCCTGGCAGACCTGCCAGTTTTAATGAGCAGTACCCACAGAGTCAAATCATATGAGAACTGTGCAGTCACAGGAAGAGGAAGCGAAATGAAACCTGCAGCAGAGCTAAAATGATTAATGGGGCACTGCTCTCAGAACAGCTTGGTTTGTGATATTAATAACGAGAGAATTCAGGAGGGAACCTAACCTGTTCCAAGCTGCAGAGCTGGCAGCAGCAGGGATGCAGTTAGGAAGCTCCTGTGCTTATATTTGTAACACAGGGGGAACTGAGTGGGCTCAGCAAGGTATAATGCTGCATGAAGTGGGTGTAGGGGCTGGGACATGCTTCCACCTTGGAGGACTCATTCTGAACCTGTCTGAAATGCAAAAAAACCCATGTAATCATGTATACATCATGATGTAACCTTAAAGCACACACATATTCATCAAACATTACTTAAGCTTGAGACTAGTGAACAGGTAAAAAATGTTTATCCCGCAAGGGAAGAAGACAAGGGAAAAGAAATATTTAGTGGGAATTCATTTGCTTATAGGGTAAACATGTGGTGTTTCACATTCTCTTCCTAAGCATTCATGTCTGGCAATGGTGAGAGATGGGATACAGGCCTGGCAGACACCTGGCCCCACCACAAGGAAAGAAGGAACCCAAAATCTTACTAATAGCAGAAGATAAATAGTTCAGAAAGTAGACGAATCTGGGGCATGCCATCTACTGGAAGCAGAGGAGGACTGTAAGGATCTGCCTATTCTGCTGTGCTTGAAGGAGTTTTGGCAGTCAACGCATCTGCCAATGGAATTTTTTTCATCCCATGGCATACCTGTGCAACTGGAGTGAGGAGAGAGCACATCCTTTGTGCCACTGGATCATGACAGCTGGTGCAGCCCAAGCCCTTGAGAAACAGTTGAGCCTGCAGCATCCTCAGGGATGTGCTGCTGACACAGGTTTCTTCTTCAGGTCCCTCGTGTCCTGAGAAAAAAGGAGTTCCAGTCCTGGGAAAAAGGAAGAAGGCCAAACACAGGAGCATCCAGAGCAACCTGCCATGGGGTTGTTTATCACGTGGGTGGTTTGGGGGCCATTCCCACATGCCAGGCTGTAGAAGGCAGCTGCTGTGCCCGGTCTGCAGGTGGTATCTGGCACCAGAGCACCCCAGCCCTGCAAAGCTCCCAGGAGACACTGTATTATTCACGGAATGCTCTTGGGAAGGATGGCCAGCCTGGGCAGCAGAACACCTGCAGAGCTGGCCAAAACACTGTGAAAAGGAAGGGAAGAGACTTCCCTCGAGAGTTTGAGCTCACAGACTTGAGCAGGGTGAACAGATGGGCTGTGGTGCAAGGCCAGGTGATTTCTTCTGCCAGACAGGTTTAAGTCCTGAGGTCAGTGGTAAAGCGATGCACACCCTGGCATTTCTTGCATTAAATGCTGGAGCTGCTCACCACACTCACAGAGGCTGAAACCCCTTTTTCCTGTGTCTACAGCAAGTATATCCCCGGTTCCACCTGGAGAATATCCAGCTTCCACATCAGGAGAGTGCTGCTGGCTGGAAAGAGCGGATGCTCAAGTTTGCATTGATTTCAGCTCTCTTCACAGCTGCCTCTGCAATGCCTGGGCATGCTTTGCCATGCAGAACATGCATTTTGCACAGCAGATCCTTTCATAAGTGTGGAGTTACAGACTTCCTGAAAGAAGATGTGGATATCTCAAGAAAAGCATTCCTATATCATCTGACTTCCTATGGCCTAGCAGACAGAGTGGTTACACAATTTAGAGAGGGATGGAGACAACAGCTAATTAAAGTTTGGAAGCCAAGCTGTTTGATTTGTTTTGAGCTCTTGGACTCCTCAAATTATTTCAGGTGTGAGCCAGGTCTGGCATTAGATGAGCAGATGGGCTTTATGACTCCCTGGATGCAGAGAGGTAGATTAAGAGAATGAGGCTTTCCAAAAACAGGAGCATAACTTTTGCCTCGTCAGAAGCTCCCACATTTGCTGGCTGTGGAGAACCCTGGATGATGTTTGGGAGCAGAGTGGGCTCCTCCTTGTGTAAAGGGTGGTGGAGCTGCAAAAGCACACTTCAACTCTCATCCAAGAGTACTGGGGAGCATCTGGGGGGACACAGTTTGTGTGGAAGAATACATATGGTGGGTTATCACTAAACTGATGGCTCTTTATTGTGGAAAATGGGTTCTCCCTCTCAAATGTGCTGCAGAGAAACACCAGTCTGGGAGAGGGAGACAAAAGCCACTGTTTGGTTATTGAAAAAATTGCTGTACCCCTCGATTTACACCCTGGATGCTGCTGGAAAACCCCGCTATGGGATCAGCTGTGGTCCCCACGGCATTATGGGATGGACCTGGGCACGTCCTTGCTGGCGTCTGTAAGGAGTCCCCTGTCCTGCTGGGAACAGGCAGCAGCAGCGACCCGTCACCAGGCTGAGCTGCCTCCCTGCAGAAAATGAGGTCGTTTGGGGACGCTTGGAAAACTTCTCGAAATCTGGGTGAAAAAGGCAATATCTCCAAATAAGGTGTGAATGAAGAATCCCATCGGATCGGGCTCCCAGTTCTCCAGCGGGCGTGCAGGGACCTCTTGTGGCAGCTCGAGTCCCCGCTCTTCTGTGCGGGTTCCTTTGGGACAGGCCTGGACGACAAGCCTGTGGCATGTGGCTGAATATTTGGCCTGATTTGGTGTCAAGGGACTTGTTTGTAACTGGGCTTGGAAGTCTCCAGTTCCAAAACCGCCCCCGGTTAATGCCATTGCTGCAGAGGAAGGAAGACAAGGAGAAAAGGCTGGAAACAGGGCTTGTAAGAAACCACAGCTCAACGGGAAGTCCTGGTAAAATTAAGTAAAATCTGGGCTAAAATGATCCAAAAAGTACTTTGCATGTACTTTGCACTGTTGCCAGTGCTCCAGCAGTGGGATCAAAGTCCCTGAACCAGAGGCTCAATCAATCACGGTTTAAATTCCTTCCATGCAGAAGTGGTAGGTAAAAGCTCTCCAGTCTCCAGAAACATTTTAACTATTCCTGTTCGTGATCCGAGCCAAATGTTCATCTTTAGAACCACAACACTGCGAGTGGAGGAGCCTCTGGGGCAAACGGGGCCGGGCTTTCAGGTGCTCCACGGTCTGGGATTTTCCCTGAAGGCAGGTGAAGGGCAGAGCTGTCTCCACAGAAAAGGGCAGCCGAGAATTTTGAGGCTAAAGTACCGCAGATGACTTCTCATTCGGAAATCAGCTCTCTGCAATTTTATACTCAATTAATTGTGAAATGATTTTTCTCCTCGGTGCCCTGAGCAGCCCAGCACGTCTCCAAGGCATGTCTCTCTTTCCTCAGCATATCTTATGCTAAACAGAAATGTCTTTGCATTTGGTCTTCTCAGTAACAGATTAGCCTACGTGATCCTTCAGGTCCTAATACACGAGATTATTTATAATCCCCCGAGCACTCAGGGCTGCAGATTACTCCAGGCAGTGTCTCCCTGCCATGTAACTGTTATGAAATTACATTGTCTTGCTCGGCTTTTAAGCAAATTTCTGCAGCATGAACAGATGCTTTTCTATCAGTTGAGATTGTCATAGAATCGTTTAGGCTGGAAAAGAACCTCACCCCTCTCCTGATCTGATTTAATTATTCCCCTCCTCAGTGCAATTACTCGCAGATGTTTTAGTGTCCGTCACCCCAGAGCCAGGACAGCGACTGAAAGCTCAGGCACCACACGTTTCTGTTTCAGCAAAGAGGAAGTAGAAGATTTCATCCAAAATTAATACCTCAGAGGAGAGGCAGAGTTTGACATTAATCGGTGTGTACACGGTGACTCATCCTGCCGGCAGAATGGAAGCGAGGGCTGTGCAGCAGCTTCTGGTGGAGACATCAAAAAGCAACAGGGGAGCGATCAAATTACGGGAAGCTGGAAAAGCAGCGTAGTCGTAGGGTAGAACTAAAACTGTGGCTACGGGATCGTGAATTCCCACAATCCCCAGACGGCAGAGGTGGGGTATCCCAGGCGTTGGGGAGCTCCTCTCGCGACACGGGACATGGGGGATGGAGGATAACAGGGCTGTGGGCAGAGCATTATTTTGGCAGGGCAATCAGATATTTTTCCTTGCTTGGTGTGCGATCAGCCCCGGTAGTGTGGTCTGTGGGGATCCTGACTCAGGGTGAGAGGTTTGGAAACCTCCAGCCCAAGGAAACGGTGACGGGCATCACCTGTCGGGGATGCTTTGGGGTGAAGGACGCGGCCGCAGCACCTCATGGGTGAGACGTCTGGCCGGCCGGTGTCACCGAGGTGGAGGAGGAACCTCAGGGCAACGAGGAAAGTGTGCCCAGCTCCCGCACAGCGACAGGACACGTGTGCCCCGCTCCGTGCCACGCTCCCAGCCGGCTTTTGGGCTGGCGCCGCTTCTGCCGTGCGATGCCGGGGAAGGCTGACGCACCCCCGGGGGCTTAATTCCCGTCTCCCCCCTCCCCTCGTCCCACGCCCCGAGGGGAAGCGCTGCCGCCGCGTGTCCGCATCTCTGCCCGGGGGGATGCGGGAACTGCCAGCGCCGGCAGCGGGGCGGCCCCCGCAGCCCCCAGGCCCTTCCCCTCGGGGGTGATGCGCATCCCGGCCGGGGCAGGGCGGTACCGGCGGGGCGGTGCCCGTGCCCGGGGCGGGTCCCGGGGCTGGGCGAAGCAGAGCCCATCGGGCAGCGCGGCCGGTCCCATGGGAGCCCGGGGGTGGCAGCGGGCCGGTGGATGCCCATGGCTTTCAGCCCGGGGCTGCTGGTGGTGGCCGGCTCCTTCGCCGCTTTCCGCCTGCTGAACCGGGGGCTGGAGCGGCTGGTGCCGCCGCCACCCTCGGCCCGGCGCAACCGCTGGAAGTGGCGCAACATCTGGACATCGCTGGCGCACAGCGTGCTCAGCGGCGGCGGGGCGCTGGCCGGGTGAGCGGCACCGGGGGCCGGGGTGGGCACCGCGGGGCACCGGGGCACTACAGGGCGATGGGGACGTCGAGGGACCCCGACGGGAACCTGCGGCCGTGGGGGCACCGAGGGAGGTTGAGCCCACCGGGGAGAAATGAGGAGACCATGAGGAGTGTGGGGACGTGGAGACTGGGGGGCACCGAGAGATGGAGGAAGGTCCGAGGGACAGGGAGGCACCAAGCAGCGGGGGATAAGGAGATTCCAGGGAAAGCAAGAGGAGAGAGGTGGCTATGGGTGGACCAGCAGAACAAGGTGGGCACCGAGGGCACTGGGAGGGCACTGGGGAACCAGAGCCACTGCCCATCACTCCCAACTTCTCCGCAGGTTCTACCTCCACCCCGAGCTGTCCAAGGACCTGGTGGGCACACACCCGCCCGGGGCGCACAGCCTGGTCGCCGTGTCTGTAGGTGAGGTGGGGGGAGTGGGCTTCCCCCTCTTCTGGCCCCCGGGGGAGGTCTCCCTGGGCTCGTCGGTGCCTGACACCAGCCCCTCAAGCCACGTCGCAGGCAGCGATGCCTCAGGCACCTCAGACAATCGCCCTATTCTTGCAAAGGACAGTGGCTCCTTTCTGTCCCAGGGCACCCTCGGCCAGGAGGTACAGGGCACCAGGCTGCCCACCACTGCCCTTGGGGGGCAGCCAGGGCTTGGGGCATCCCAAAAGTGCCCATATGGTGTTGGTGGAGTTAGTTAGTGCCTCTTCCTAGAGGCATGTCCTACAGAGTGGTTGCAAGAGGGACCCAAACCACACTGATTTCCTTCTCCTGCTGTGTGTAATTGTGCTCTGTGTGTGACTCACCACTCACACAGCTCTGGCCATCACTTCCCCAGAGGGGCTGCCCAGCCCAGTCAGGTGCAGAGCCCACTGTGGCATGGGGGTCCCTTGGCACAGCCCTTCCTGGCCCCCTTCTTTGCTCATGGCTTCTCTGATCCCAGGTTATTTCCTTGAAGACTTTGTGGACATGTTGTGCAATCAGAAACTTCACCAATCCTGGGAGCTGCTCTTCCATCACTCTGTGGTGAGTTCACCAGCACATGCAGCACCAGGGAGGCTGGGGCTGGGGGACATGAGTGGGGCTCCTGCTGTTGTTAATGTGGGTATTTGCTGCCTGTTACAAAAATCTGACAGATTTTTCTGCCTGGGGAGGGGAGACCAGACTGCAGGACACACATACTCTCTGAGGATCTGCAGAAAGACACCCAGGGATTGGGTAGGAAAAGAACACGTGTACACAGCATAGGGTGAAGAGGGCTGGGTTGGGGGGGCTGATCCATAACAGTGATGTGGTCAGGCTGTGACCCAGGTGTCCACACTGGCAGCACAGCTCCTGTTGGCTCTCAGCCACTTGAGCATCTGCCAGGAAGGGCTGCACAGCCCCTGCTTCCACCTCACACTCCCCAAGGTGCTTTCCCATCATCTGGGGCTGGGGTGGCTGGAGCAGCTGTGGTGCAGGACCCCCCACACCAGCGCCTTCTGGCTGCACCCAGCATGGCTTTCTCTTTGATCACCTCTGATGTCCAGACACTGGAGTGTTTTTCCAACCTAAACAATTCTATGATTCTAAGACTGGGGGTGCTGCAGGGCAGGGGGGTGGCACAGCCTGAAGCTGAGCAGCAGAGACACTGCGGGGTATGGGGAGGCAGAGGGGTGTGCAAGGCCTGGGGTGGGGGACAGGGACAGCGCTGAGACCTACCTGGGATGAGACAGGGGAGGCAGTGGTCAGACCTGCTCTCTCACAGAGCCCAGTGAACCAAAAGTTCATCTCCACAATAGAGTTAATTCGAGCCAAGACAGTGACTTAACAGGGAGTAGATAATCTCATTACAGAGCCCGTACAGAGAACAGCATTAATGGCATAAACCAAAGAAAGGACTGAGTGTGCTGGAGTGTGGGCAGGCAGAGCCTGTATCCCTGCCTGCAGGGAGGGTGCGGGGCAGGAATTGTCCACTCTGCCCCCAAGAGCCCTGTCCTCTGCTGCAGCACCCAGCAACCCCAGGGTGCTTCAGGCCACCCTCAGGGCATCCCACGGGGCTCTCTGATACACCAAAGCCTCTTAATCCCTGCAGCATACCCGGGAGAATCCCAGAGCCAGCTCCAACTGTAGCCCTGGGCTACACGTCTCCCTTCCTGCCCATTCACTGTGTGTGGAAAAACCTGCTGGGCCACACCCGACTGCATTCCCTAGGCCACAAAACCAGGGTTAGGTCAGGCTGCTTTGTCTCCTCTGCCAACCTGGAGCTTATAGAATTGTTTTCCTTCTCCTCCCACTGGAACAAAAAAAATCCACTCAGGTTTCATGCAAAGGTCGAAAGGTTTTACTTTATTCCTGAGGCTGCAGCACTTTATTCCGGAGGCTTTGATGCTGCAGAGATGTGTGGGGTGATGACCAGCGGCCTGGCACTGCTGTGATAATCCTTTCCACCTCTGCTCCATGCTGTGCCCCAGCCTAGAAGGTTCCAGCTGTCAGCAGCCGAGAACAACCAGCCTCTCTTCCTCCTCCTTTCCAGGTGATTGTTTGCTTTGGAATTGCTGTGCTGCTCCATCAGTACGTCGGCTTTGCCCTCGTGGCTTTGCTGGTGGAGATCAACTCCATCTTCCTGCACCTGCGGCAGATCCTTCTCATGGCCAACCTGGTGCACACCACCTGCTACCGCCTCAACAGCATCGTCAACCTGGGCACCTACGTGGTGTTTCGCATCGCCACGCTGGCCTGGATGACCCGCTGGCTCTTCCTCAATCGACAGAACGTGCCCCCGGTGACGTACGCGGTGGGCACGGTGGGCATGGCAATCATGACACCCATGAACATCATCCTCTTCTACCGCCTGCTGCGGAGTGACTTCCTCAAATCCAGCCGGGACGTGCAGCGGGAGAAGGAACAATAGCCCCCCCTTCCCTGCGGGGTCAGGGGGATGAGCTGCTCTGAACCCACAGCAAAGCACAGTGGAGGGTGAATGTGGCTGTTTCAGTACCTTGTGTGGAGGGTCTGCACTAACAGAGCATCCAGGCTTTTCTTGTGGCTGAAGGTTCTGGGCCCTGCACGACAAAGAAGGTGCTCATGGAACAGGCACTGTGGCTCTGCTCCCCAAAGACCTTTGGATGACGTGGTTGAACAAGTGGGAGCTGCTCAGAGAAGCCTCGACAGCTCTCACAGCTCCCCGGGGCACCACTGAGATGAGAAGGGAGCAGTGGAGCACTGTTTCCTCACTGCTCCTCTGGACATCCAGACACCACAGTGTGTTCCTAACCCCGTCAGTGCTGCAGCCCCCAGCGTCCCATCAGTCACAGGACACTGCGTCCTTTGTGGCACTTCCCATGGGAGCACCACCAGGAAAGAAGGCCTTTGAGGCCAGTAAAAGCCAAATCCTGCACTGATGGACCCTCCCCGAGGAGATTGTCCCAGGTGGGTGATGGAGGGAGAGGCTGAGACCTGGCTGGGTGGGCTGCTGCCCACGATGGTGTCCAGGTCAGGGGGAAAACACTGGGCAGTGGGTGCTACAGCACCACCCTCTCGTGAAAACTGGAACATTTTTCATGTTGTTTTGTCTCACATAGTTGAAGTGCCCTTAAACAAGCTTGGGAGAGTGCAAGTTGCTGGAAGGATGATGTTATGTGATGGTCACTTCCCACAGATGTGGAGTTTTCAGGCATAGGCACCTTTAGGATTTAGACATCTGTTAGGAATGACAAGTTGTGCTGCAGAGCCCGACACTTACCCACCAGCAAAGGCTCTTACTAACACCAGCTTTTAATAAATGGCTGTAAATGAAATGGCTTGAGGGGAAGGGACTTAGAGGAAGAAAGGACTCAGCATCGCAGCCCACTCCAGGGGTGTCACTGCTCAGCACAGTCCTTATCCCATGTCTCCTTGCCATGGAGGGAAAATACACTGCACACTGGCACACTCTACCTCTCTTGGGTTTTTTTTCCCCCCCTCTCCTTTCTATGGAGGAAGATGAAGGCTTCTTCTGTTCCCGCTGATGTTCTCCTGCCCTCCTAGGCAAGGGAAGGCTGCGCTTTCCTTGGAGCTGGCAATAGGGAGGCTGGATGGTGGCAGGATGGGAGCCAGCCCTGCTGTGGCCCTGCCTTTAGCCCTCCTGCACCGAGTCACCTGTGGGGGTCAGGGTGGTGCTGGCTCTGAGCCAGGGCGGGCTCTGGGCTGAGCACCCAGCCCGTGGCTTCACTGCTTCCATTCCCACTGAGGGATGCTGGCTTGCAGCAAAGCTTCCTGCCTTCTCACAGAATCATTTAGGTTGGAAAAGACCTCTGAAACCATCGAGTCCAACCTATGACCAAACACCAGCACATCAACTAGACCACGACACCAAGTGCCACATCCAGTCTCTCCTTAAACACCCGCAGGGATGGTGACTCCACCACCTCCCTGGGCAGCCCGTTCCAATGTATAATCACCCTTTATGTGAAGAATTTCTTCCTTATGTCCAACCTAAACCTCCTGTGACACAGCTTGAGGCTATGTCTTCTTGTCCTATTGCTGGTTCCCTGGGAGCAGAGTCTGACTCCCACCTGGCTCCACCCTCCTGTCAGGGAGCTCTAGAGAGCAAGAAGGTCCCACCAGTCCCCCTTTTCTCCAGGCTGAGCCCCCCCAGCTCCCTCAGCCTCTTCTTACAGGAGTTGTGCTCCAGACCCTTCCTCAGCTACATTGCCCTTCTCTGCATATGCTCCAGCACCTT